CAAGATGGCGTCCGAAATTCCTGCGCCGGAGCAGCCAATGAGGCATCTAGTGATTATATGATATCTATGCTTTCACCTGGTAAACATATACACATTTCTTAACATTTTTGGCACTTTTCAACTTGTGAGAAAATGAATTGATAATTGTCACATGGGTGACATAGCTACTTGCATAACTGGCCCGTATTTGGCATGAACAGATGTGGCCCACATCAAGCTAAACCATCATTGGCCCAGGAGTGGCATGCCTCATGTGAACCGTGCCATCATTGCCAGACCTGGCCCATGTCTGGTTGACGTCCAATTTGCCATGCCAGAAGTTTGGTGGATGCGCTAGCAGAATGCCAGATTTTTTCAAAGTCATATTTTCACCATGTACATGGTGAAAATATGACTTTTAAAAATAAAAAACAAATACTTTTTCCTTATTAAAGTCTAAATAAACCAAAAATATTGCTGTTAATTTTTGACTGTGTAATTTTACAATGGCACCCCATAGCGTAATGCAGGCAAAATGATGCAGAGCAGAAGCTGCGTCAAAGTTACTTCAAATTAAACCGGAAGTTATTTCAGATGCCTTCAAAATACGATCCGTTTATTGTCTTTAAATCAAAAAGTAGAAATGTAATTCACTCATTGTTTGCAGAAAAGTTAATAATCCATGTAATAATATTGATTTAGCTTTGTATTGCTATTCTATCCATATATCTGTAAATAGCACTGTCGTAAATTGTTTTATTTTGTCTACATACAAGAAACCTAGTCAAATTCCTCCCACTTTACAAATTGTTAGGGAAGCAGCTAAACTATCCTTAACTAGCGGTGGTAATCACTTTAAGAAGTCGAAATACTTTCGGACAGCTCATCTGCGGGACGAGTGCTGACAAATGTTTTTTTTTCATCGTTTTGAGACGCGGAGTTGACGAGCTGGGAAAACGTCTAAACCGTTAAGCAACGGTTTCCGGTGTGCGCTGTTGTCATGGCTAGCCGTGGTTGCTAGCTACGTCTTGTGCTGCCCGTGAAGATAATTAGCTCTACTTTAGTTCGACTACTGGCTCGCAGTAGACAGCTCGTCATCTCCGTTGCTAAGGCCGACTCACTGGGGGTGGAGGGGTGCGTCGAATATTACAGTAAGGTGAGTGTTTGATGAGGATCTCTTGACTTGCTCTGGTTAGCGGAACGCAGCGGCTGTGGTTATTCCTTGGATTCAGAAACATTCCATCAAATATGCTTTCAAAAGGTGTTCATGGTTTCTCATGGGGGTCTCCGAGCATAGCGTTTGCCGACCGGAGGGGGTAACTCAACCCGGTTTAGTATTATGTCATAGCTTCTCTATTACTGGCACGGCATATATATTCATATTTTAACAGCCTAAGAGATGGCTCACCACGCCAGTGAATAGCCCCTCCCGGCACGTCGTGCTGGCAGCTGATGTGCTGGAGCTCTCATCGCATTCTTACACATGAAGTTGTTGTAACATGTGCAAAGCTGCTGTCAGCTCTAACGGGAAAGCCGCTAAATGCTTACAGCAAACGTATCCAGGATTGTGTTTCGCTGCAGCTTTGGGTTTAATGTAAAAAAAATTTAAAAATCACCCAAAACTCTCAGGAATTCCAGAGGTCTACATTTCTGCTTTTGCTCTGCTGACTGTCTTTTTATTGTTTTTGCAGGAATATCATCAAATGGAAATATGACACCCAGCAAGTTTCTTACAGTGTCTTTGGAACAATGGATTACTTTTCTTCTGAGAAACCAGACCAAGATTGCTGCAGAGATTTCATCTCCTTACATTTGGATTTTTTTATCAGCTTGTAAATAAAATCAACCCACACTGGACGTGCTGGATCCTACACCACAATATACCCCCTCTCTGTGTGTTTCCGGTGAAACATTAACAATGCGTTTATGCAGGTTGGACTGGCTCAGATAGATTATTAGCCCAAATAAGGAAGTCCAGCAAAGGGATAGCCTCACTGAAAGTACAAGTTCTTAAAGTAACATGGCCTCAGTGTGGAAGAGACTGCAGCGTGTGGGGAAGCATGCCTCCAAGTTTCAGTTTGTGGCATCCTATCAGGAGCTAATGGTAGAATGCACAAAAAAATGGTGAGTTTACTGGAAATAAATGGTACCACTGTGCTGCCATTGAAGCAGTATGAAGTGTGCATCTGTCTGTGCCGGAGTTCCAATCTCCGTTTGTAATAATGGTAATGCATTTATAATAATACACATAATTTCCTTGGAGCACAGGATGGTGCATGTCTTTCTTGTGAATTTCAATGCTTTTTCCTCTTGTGTACCAGTGGTGAGTTTTTGGTGCAAGCTAACAAACCATTTTTGTTACAGTGTCCTTTCTTTACTGATTTATTTTGGTCAAACCACTAGATCGATCAGTTATATGGATGCTTTTAAATTGTTCTGATTGGTGATGTGTTGAAACTAAATAAATTCTTATGAGTTTCAACACATCACCAATCAGAACAATTTAAAAGCATCCATATAA